CTTTAAATAAAATGCATTTTATGAACGATGGAATTCCGCCACATTTTAATCTTTTACCTAGACACTGGTGGAGTAAAAATTTTCCACGACATTGAATTGGACGAGGCACAGAGGCTACAATACAATAGCCTCCTAGGTCACCTGTCATGACACTTTTAGGTTTCCTATTATGGAATTATGTTTATAATACAAGAGTTACATTAGAAGTATTAAGGGAAAGGATAATAAATACTTTTAATGAACTACAAAATAATACGAAACCACTCAAAGAATATGTTTTTACTAAGAAAAGATTAGACTTGTGTATTCGTCAAAAATGCACATTTTAAACATTGTAGATTTATTGGCTTGGGCTTTCTTACAGATTTCTGAGATAGAAATTGAAAAGCTTCTTATGCCATATGACTATTTTTTTGAACAAATTATGTAACAAAGAAGTTAAGTGTAGAAGCTAAGATAAGACGACCTCTGGAATTTTCCCTATCTCTATCTGAAGCTGTTTATGTCATTGCACAAGCTGCATCGAAATCTTGTGGAACAAACCACGTTAATAAAACTCGCACACGAGTGTTTTTGTTTCTAATTCGTCGTAAGTACGTATCTTTTGCACCACGCTAACAAAACCTCTTTAGTATAAAAAAATAAATATTTAATAACAAATAACAATACTTATGAAACACCTTGCATAAAGAAAAATTCCCGACAAACACTTTAAAATGCAGTGCCAGATTCGTAAAATCCTACCGTTTAATGACTACCTCCTTTATACTATTTCGTTCGCTAAAACGGGACATTGCATTGTGGCCAATAAAAATAAAGTTTTGTAACGCGAACGGCCCATATTTAGCTTCTCCATGTTGCATTTTGTTTATTTTTGAAATTCGAACATCACATACGCGAGTTACATACATTATTATATTACGGGACTTTATCCAACAAAAACAGGAAATTATTAACGCAGAGAGTCCAGAAGTTGGTGTTAATTTCGTAACAATTTAAATTGGAGAAACAAAAACTGGTTTTCGTAAAGCGTGTGCCGGTGTGCTGATGATACATTTTCTAGTTATTTGATATTTGTCATCGTTTCATTATATTTCACTTATATAAAACCCTATGTGAACTATTCACGTTTCTGCGTGGTATGCAGGGGTTCCAAAACCAATAAAATAAAAGTAGCATTAAAACGTATAAACTACTTTTATCTTCTTCCACTATTAACAGAGTGGCTGCACATACCTACCTATTAGCCGCATAGGTAGGAATGTGTACCAAACTTTCGTTGATTAACCTCTATGTATAGTTGAAAGACAAGAATGTCTGACAAACGTGAAACATAATATAATAAACGCCTGGTTCGAGAAGATTCCTCCTAGTCGCCAAGTTAGGAGTCTAGAAGAACTTTCACAGGACACAACATAATGCGCACAAACAGATGCCGTAACAGGGGTAAGCCTTCAACAACGTCCTGTTTAAATGACGGTAGTACTAGATTAGGCTCTCTTTTAAGGCATGGCATACAAATCAATTGATCTTTGTCTTGAAGGCCCTGCGGAGGAATTATCAGAGAGTCGATGATATGTATCTAGCAGGTCCAGTTTACATGATGAGAAATTACTTGACTCAGGGTATGAAGAATTTCACTGAGCCTTGGGAAATACGCGAGTATTCTAGATAGAAATATCAACAAGTGGATTAGCGCTCTGTCTAAAGGACGATAGCATGACATCTTTCATAACCTCTTAAAATGTATGGCATATAAATATTGATCTTTAGAGCTCTACAGAGGAGTTAGCAGGAGGTGGATAGAATGGGTCTAGGAGGTTCCAATTAAATTTGCATGATGAGAACTTACTCAACTCAGGCTGTAACTGTAAGAATCTCACTTAGCTTAATTATACATGCGACAGTATTCTAGGAAGGAGTAGTAACAATACATCACTGCGCAAAAGAGGTACTAAGACACAAGTTAAATCAAAAAACTATTTTTATATACTCGGACATTCAAGTGCCGCTGAAAGCACTCAGTTCCATGCAGGTATACTTAGACCAAAACAGTCCACATAGGACATAAGGGCAAAGAAAGAGGCTGATTTACTAGTTTGAGAAGGAGCCTCAAAAACTCTTCTTGTCTAGAAGGCTTTTCTGGTGTCACAAGGGCAGCCACAAGAACATAACAAAACAGTGGATGTTAAACAAATCTTAAGAATAGTGAAACAATTCACTAGGACACTAGACAATCCAGAGAGTTTATAAAATAACTATCGCTCACCGATCATCAACTAGGCTAGAGTAGGAAAAATACTTCTAAAACTTTTTTTGATGAACTGTAGTGGACCTAATGATTTGTTGCGCGCGTTGTCTATTCAAAATCACATGTTACCGAACACATTTTATTGAATCATAAATCTTTCATAAGTTTAATAGCATAGGTTGCTAACTAACATAGGGTGCTGACTAAATTACAGATTTTCGTTTTGCCCAGAAAACTATTTTACATTACTAATGAATAACTATGTTTTATTAAAAGGCTGCCTAGTGCCACAAAGGAGATAAAATACAGGTCGCGAAATGTGAATAATTTCAAATTTATGTGGCATTCTGATTCTAGAAAGGTAGCGTCCCCTATTTATGTCTTTGTCTCTCCCACCTATAAGTTTCTATTTGGCACGTCTTTTATTTCAAACTATTTATTGTTTGTGCTAGCGTGAAAGATAGAGCGACGCCGCTTATGGATGCATTACAATTCGTTATTCTCAGATCCTTTAATTAATTAGCAAGACAGGGTCGGCTTTTTGGTTTCTTTGATTATTAAGTTACTTGGTTGATTCTAATTTAATTGATTAGTTTAGCACTCAAGGAGCAGGCTAGCCTGATGAATATATTGGATGTATCTTAAACACTAGTCATATTAGCAGGGAATTTTAGGCTTAACAGGCAATTCCTTACTCACGGATATAAAAAAACACAGGAGAGCTTTTTCGTAGTCTATGGAATCTATAAGAAAAGACCAAACTAGATAAAGTACCATTGATCAAAGGATATCCACAATAGATCTGGGAAGGTCTACACTCTTAAGCAAATCTAATATATCCTTTTTCTTTAATTATTTGTTAGCGAATGGGTCGTTGAGCGTAATTTATGTCAAAAATTTAAAGACAGATTGCACAGTGATTATCTTTGAAATAGGTTATAATTGGACTAACACTGATTGGAGAATAAGAATATTTCATTCGCTTATTATGTTGAAAGCTAAAGAAAACTGTTACTATGCCGTTCTTATTGATCAAAATTTCATACTGGCTAGCATTGGGTGATGTTAATATATTTTTTCTAGACCCTTATAGATATTAGCAATTCTATGCACAGACTGCAAATATAATGTACAACTCGAGTGGATTGTCCGTATTACACTCATACGATTGAGCACTCCGCTTACGACGTTGAGCTCAAGCTTCGTCTTCGTGCGATGTGGACATAATATCCATTCTTGTTGCACAAACTACTATTATGATTAGCAACTTTGGGATATTTACGCCCTTCATTTTCTCTCTTTGACTTCAAACAATCTTATGAACAGAGCGTGATGGGTATATGAATTCTTCAATTGTTAGTTCATGGTTAAAGCTAGTTAAAGCTAGTTAAAGCTAGCTCATCTTTAGATGAGGACGGCAACAAAACCAACTGTGGAGTGATCTCTTTATCAAGAAAAAACAAAAAATAACAAAAATCTTGAAATATATTATTGAAGCTCTTCCGATTAGTAAATAAAGTATGTATTCCTTAAATGGCACATAGTATATTTTGCTAACTTTACCTCTTGAATGCTAGCACATCGCTAACGGCCCGCTTCAGCGGTTTTAAACAATATTAATTTAAAGTTTAATCCGGTATAATTAATAATTAGTCCTGCAGGTAATCAAATATGTCTAATAAATTATGTACACATACAGAAGAGTAAGCAAACTTTTCACAACCAGTGTAGAAGGTTTTATTGTTATTTTTGAAATCACGTACCTTTTTAGTTTTTTTTTATCAGTTTTTTTTTAATAATCTGCTGTACATATAATACAGATATATATATATATATATATATATATATATATATATATATATATATATATATATATATATATATATATATATATATATATATATATAGACTGTAGAACAGCCAAATGGAATAAATTCGGTAATAAATAAATAGGGACGTGTTCTAAAAATGCTCGGACACGATGATTGGTATTTTTATTTGCGCACTTTTTTTAACAAAAACTTTTTATACAGGGTGTATCATGTAACAGTGACCAATGCCAATTTTCTTATTTTAAATGCAAAACCCTATATATTTTTTAAGTTTTGTATTCAAAAAAAATTCTAGATATATTTTATGTACTATGTCCGATATCTAAATTTTTTAAAAATATTTACCGATCGACTTGTCTGAGCGTTTTTCCGAACATGCCCCCATTTATTTATTACCGAATTTATTTCATTTGGCTGTTCCATACCGTATATAAAGTACTCAATAATTTATTATAATATTTAGATATAGCCCAAAATATTGTGACCTGATTAGATTCAGATATTTTACCTAGCTTGTTCTTTTTAGCCTTTCTCCTTAGCCTGATTTGTGCCTTGTCTGGATTAATCAATGGGTTTTACCTAACGCCCCACATTTCTGTCAGCCTTAGATCTCTTTGCATGGGTTTGTTTACTTGGACGTACAGCCCTTGATTGTTCAATGTTATCAGCAGTTCATCTGCCACTAGATTCCACAGTAGAAGAGTGGTAGCTAACATTGATTTAAACGGTGTGTTATTAAAAGCTTCTTCTATGTTAAGACCTATCTTGATAACAGATTCCTTTTATATCCGTTTTACAAAATGGTGGTGAGAATAAGATAACAATAGTTTTTACCAGTAAATATTTAGCAATATTAATATCAAATATCGATATATAATCAAATTATATTTATTTTAACAATCCAGGTATTCACTTACTTCATCAATATCTCCCCTACGATGCCTCTCCAAAATATCTTCGTCCATTATGCTGAACTGTTTTGTAGTATCCTGGCACCAGTTCAGTAACTCGTCGTGGACTTGTCTTATTTCATTTTTTGTTGAGAAGCTGATTTCTAACAGTAGATGATCCTTCTTTGATGGGTTTTCTCTAATCGCAACTAAAAATTAAAATAATGGAATCAACCATTGAATTATTTTTATATATACATACATATAAAATCAAAAGAATCAAAACCAATTTAGGAAAAAGAAAAATGATAATAAAGTAAATAATAATAATAAAACGAAAAAGGAAAATCCTAAATATAAGAATTAGTTATACATTTGGTACTTCGAGCCAGATCATGTGTAGATTTACATTTCGTTCTAATTCTCTTGGTGTTGTAATGATAGTGATGACTCCTCTTCTATATACAGTGTGTCTAATTAAGTTGGAACCATGTGGAAAAAAATTTATATTCTTGGTTTTGTGAAAAAAATTATTTTTGATAAAAAGTATTTTTTTTTAATAATACGAGTTTGACTGAAGTCATGGACATTTTTTGGCCCAACTTTAATATTTTTCTCACATAATTTAATATACTTTTTATAAGTTACCTTAATTTAATTTTTACCTCAGCTCTGCACCTTGACAGTGTTATTGTCATTTTTTCGACAATTTATGAGTAAGTTTTAGATGGTTTATACCATGGATAATAATATCTATTTGTGTTTTTTTTTTTTGTTTTTGAGGAATTTATTGCCTAAATATGTTATTTATTTTCATGTATAGAAAATCTGCGCTTTCCTCGACACATTAAGCGGTATTTAAAGTTTCAAGAATATTACGGTAAATAGCAGGAAAATATGTCTTTTGAAATTTATGACCAGGAAAAAATTGGGGTGTCAAGAACTTATTTTTTACATGAGCTAAGATTGGCTAAAACTAAATCAAGGAGCCCATTGTTATCATTTGGTATCTTGTTAAGTTGAGTTGTAAACTTTTTGAAAGATGAATATCCGCCTATTAAAATCACCGATAATTAGTAATTTTTTACCATACAGATTATTAAGATAGGTGATACAATCAAACATTGGTAGACACATAAATAAGAGGGAATATAGATATTAATGTCAAATAAATAATCGCCATTGTACTTGAATATAGTAGAGATGATGTTTATAGTGGGTAGATTAGGAAAGTCTACATTTGCTTTTATGTTCTAAAGATAAGCTTCAAGTTATTTTCATGTAGCTAATAATCAGCCTCCGCCCCTGGTATTATATGTCAAATGATAAGGTCTGTTCAATCTAACATCAAATATTTGTGTATTAATAAATTCGGAGTTATGTATAGAATATGTATAGAAGTTTCATTAAGAGCTAAAAGGTCATACTGTACTGCAGCCAACGAACTTTGATATAGATCTTGAGTTTTTGTTCTTAATTCTTGGATATTTTAATAGTACAAGGAAATCAAGTTAGAGTTTAAAGAATCATTTGAATTATCTGACTGTGATTATTATTTTCTTGAGAGAATATTTGTTTTAAATTAAGATAATGTTTCTTTTATAAACGTAACAGTTGCTATCTAAAACTGTTTGATTGGCGAGAACCTCACTGTTAGTAGTTTTATTGTAATTATGTAGAAATATTAAATTGAATTAGTGCTTGAAAAAGTTTATTATTATTTTTTTAAGGAACGTGTAAAATAACCTTAAGGTCTCCAAAAATGTCATCCTTGTTTTGAACTTTCAAGCAATTAACGAGATCTTCCTCTGGCAGTTTTACAGACATTCCAAAAATCTTAAATCTAGAATTCACGACTGGTAATTCTTTAATAGTATATTTATCAATGAGTTGTTCATCAACCATTTTTCTTAATTTGTCGCAGTCTTCGGGTTTACTGCAGCTAACTATTAGACTTAAATCTTTGACATTAGCTTTTTTTTGTAATAATGATGTTTAGGTAAACTGGATTAATATATCATGTTTGGTAGCAGGAGCATCGTGCTTCAATTTGGACTGGATAATGTAGGAAGGTTGATTTTAAAGAACTTGAGAGAACAAAGTTAAAGGTGAAGTGGTGGGTTAAGACGGTTTTCCACTAAACTGACAGTTGAGTTTATGTTTTGTTTGTGTTTTGCTGAAACTTGAAAAACAAAACTCTTGTTTCCATCGAGCGGGTTACATTTTGTTTCAGTTTTGTTTTTGTTTTCGGTTCTTTTCCACTGCTTATCGCGAGGAAGTCAAAACACATTTTTTTAATGACCAACCAACAAGTTTAGAGAATATTTTTTTATTCTTAATTGTGGTAAGTTTATACTGCGGTCCTTGGAAACAAAATAAGTGTCTTTTTTTTTAATCACCTTATATGTATATCTATATGTCACAGCCAGACTACAGCCTTGTTCAGAGTAAGAGGGGGTTATAATTGACAACCTGTCTTATTTTTAACAGGTCTGTTATTTTATAAACACACAGAAATAACAACCTGTTCAAAAATAACATTACTTGTCCATCATAACCCCGGAAGAGTCGAGCGACGCGTCGTCGGTAAAAAAACCTAGTGTTACTAAACGTCGTTTCTAGTAAACAGACTCGAGTTTGAAAACACGTCAAAACTTTCAGATGTTACTGCTTCCGAGCGGGACTCGAGAAACAAAACTCCAACTGTCACAAAACACGCCAGTTTTTGAAAAGTTTGCGAAAAGTTGCAGTTTTGTTTTTTACGACTCGAGTTTGTGTTTTGTTTTTGTTTTGTCCGTTTAGTTGAAAACCGCCATATGAAATATGAATATTGGACCGAACTTTTCGGTATTAGGTACCGTTTTTAACTCAGTTACAATATCATTTTTGTGTATAAGTAACTCATCAGCTTTAATTTGAATTTTTTGTTGATTTAGATCTTTTATTGCATTTAAGGAATCATTAATTATCGTTAACTGACTTTCATAGCTGTTGAGTGTAACCTTTTTACATATATCGCACTTATTTTTGCATAAATTACATAAGAAAAACTAATTTCTACTTTTATTGAGCTTTGACAAATCTATGTTCGTAAGTTCAGCACAGGAATAATGGAACCGTTTTTATTTAATTTGAATCTAGAAGATTTTGTAGAATCATTCATATTAATTTAAGTTCCGCCACTACTGGTAAAGTCTAAATAAACCATCAGTTGCAGAAAGTGGTTAAGATATTTGATATTCGATGAGACTGGGAAAATTTAGCACACATATAATTCATAAGAATCCAAAATTGCAAGAGGAATTCAAAATATTAATTTGAAACAGTACAATATTTTATTTTATTAAGAAGGTATGAATCAAATTTATTTCTTTGGGTAACAATAACGACTCACCTGGAGTAATACGAAATAAAACTCAAATATTCAGGTACAGTTATGTTTATTTTACTAGATCATTTCTTATTTTTAGTTTCCGCGTTTCTCTGTTTGTGCTAGAGTGTATGTACGTACATAGAAAGGAACGAAATTTTATATTACCACCGTATCGGCGTCGAACAACGGATATTTTTACGTTCGTACACTAGAAAGCAATCGTGCCTAGAATCCGTTACTGAGAACGGATATAAATAGGTTCGAGATATAGATACATATATCGACGTGCGGCTTAGATATTTTTCCTTTGTTTTTATCTGGTAAATAAATAAGTTTAAAAGTATGTACGACAACATGTTCCAGAAAGTTTAGAAACGATCTTAGATTCTTTCAAAAAAAAAAAAGAGGAAAAACTTTTACTTTCGGTTGTTGCGAATAGTTTTGATATATTCGATGTCGAAAGTGTAAGGTCAGACACGAATTGAGGTCCAAAATGAAATTATAGAGAAGGGTTTATTTTCAGTTTCGTTATACACACTTCAGCGTTATTGTCACTTCTAAGACATTTAATTTGTAACGGCTGTTCCATCCTCAAAGGAACACCGTGTCATTATGGCATTAATAATAATAATTAGCCTGTTAGTTAATTGTTTTGATTTTCTGTTGTTTCGAACTTGACTTTTTGTATTTCTGTATGAGTTGTCAATCGTATTAAGGGGGGGGGGGGGGGGTAAGGTAGATTCGTGCAAAAAAAGGCAAATTTTTGTGAATTTTTTTTGGCGACACAATTAAAATCTGTTTATTTAAACTAATGATACATTAAAGTATAACATTCAAAGATTATTGTGTCAAATTTTCATCTAGAAATATTAAAAAATACGGAAATGGTAGCAATTATTCGGAAGCGTCTCGGAAAAAAATAGAATTGCGGTGCCTCTCCTAACTAGGTGCTGGATTATCAGAAAAAAAAATGTTTTCTCGTTAGATAATCGTTTTCCCCAGGTAAAGCTGGAAGGGTTTTTCAAAATTTCAATTTTTCACTTTTTGGGAACACTTTGAAGTAAAAAACGCGATTCTTGGGAAAAAAATAGGCTAATTTGTTATTATAAAATAAAAAAATATTAACAAATTTGAAAAAACTCTCCAGCGTTACCTCGTAAATTATGTACAGAAATAGTGTTAAAAATTTCAAAAGGATAGGTGCAGTAGTTTTGAAGTTATGAGGGACACCGACTTTGGAAACATGGGAAAAACGCTTTAAAGTTTTGAACACTAAAAAATTTGGTATAAAACGTTCATAAGCGAGTTTTATTGGCTTATCTGATCCTGAATCATCGATGCCAGGTCCATAAAGGATGTTGCTATCATTCATGATGTCTAAAGCATCTATTTGCTCCTGTCTACGACGAATCCTCATTCATGAACGCTTGATCCACTACTGATTCCTGTCTTGCGTGTAGGTTAGTAAAGCAAAATAACATGCTAGGCCAATGCTACACTAAATTATATACAGTACAGATATAAACACGTTTGTACTTGTGTTAAAATTTCTGTAAAGAAAGGTAGATTTGTATTTATTTTGGTTAGTTTTGAGTAGTTCCTGTTAATTTTGTGGCAACATACCATGAAACATGACCGGCGGATATTACTATTGAAATTTAAAAATAAAAGTTAAACATTGAAACACACTCCACATAACTATTTAGAGTCCGCTGACAATTGAAAACTTGTTTTTTTACCTTAAAATCATCAAAATGTTTTGTTCAGACTCGACCATAAAAAATATGTAAATTAAATCATATTAATTAATTTCTTGTTGTACAAACGGCTAAATAA